CCAGCTGTGGCTCTTTATTTTTTTTTGTTATAGAAAAACTTAGAGCAGCTTCAAGTCCACACACACCCCACCACTTACCTTCCACCGGTACACACCATGGAAACTCAGGTGAGATGCAGGCTTCCAGGTCTGAGCCAGCTGTTCTGCAGCTTTTAACAATGTGTCTGCATTTGCTATTCCACTGCTCTAGAGACATCCATAGAGCACACAGGCTGTGATTTATATACATAACTGTTTTTAATCTCAGCATATCTTTCAGCTTTTCATTCTAAAATCAGATTCAAACCAACCATGCAACTCCAAATCACCACTAGACCCAACTGGGTTTGTTTTGTAGGTGACCCATGACATCTACTGGCAGGTAACAGATATTGCACCTACTCCAGCTCAAAATCAACCATAGGTAAGGTATATAACTTGAAATACTTTATAATTTAAAAGGGCAATATGTCAGACCACCAAACCATCCAGGGTTTCAATAGACTCTTAACTTACACTGTGTACAAGGTTTTTACAGGATTTATATGATTTCCCTTCTACATCATTATTTTTGATTCTGGGAATTAGTCTTGTCCTCAATATTTTTTCTTAAAAATATGGTTTAATAATAGGGCTAAGAGGTGCTTTTAGAAATGGTACAGTCTTTACAGACTGATAACAAGCTTCTCAAAAAAGAGGTTGGAACTCTGAAGAAGGGTTTGAACAATTTAACTAACAAAACTCAGTCAAATGAGGTACTTTTAGAAATGGTACAAACTGACAATAATTTATTAAAAGGAAAATTCAGCACTATGGAGAATGATACAGTTGATTTGGCACATAAACCCAGTCAATGACATTGGGTGCTGAAATATTATTTGAGAGAATCTATACTGTTGGATATATTAATCAGACTCTGTCAAAGGATTATGACAGACAGACTGATAGAATGTCTCTCCAGGAAGGTAATAAGCATGCAATGAAGATTATGTCGAAGGATGAAACATTATCTCTACTGACTAGACTTCAGACCTTGGAATCCTCAATGAGGGAATGAGAACAGAACACTGGACAGAAGATCCAGACTTTACAAAAGGCAGTGTTAAATAGATTTGAAAAGATTGAGGAACTTATCGAATTTGATGACCAGGGACAAATGATACAAAGACAAAATTTAGCCTCATCAGTACATAAAAACCTCTGGGAAAGCTTCCCCACAGTTCCTCCTGCCTTTCCAGTGATAACATCAGAAAGAATAGCTGGCTCCAAGTACCTTACAGTTGCAAAGAATATTCATGGAAGCCCATATGCATGATTGATCTAAAGGAAATTAAACAAGCAATTGTAGCTTACAGACTACATTCATACTTTGTTAGGGAAATGGTCAAAATGTGGACTTCCAGTAACAAAGCAACACCATAAGACTGGAATCAGTTAATCTCAGTGGTCCTAGAAAGTGGACCACAGTTGCTTTGGAGATGCTTTTGTAAGGAAGATGCTAAAACTTTGGAGCAACAAGAAAAAGCAAAAGGACTTGAGATTTCCCTAGATCAAATTCTAGACAAAGGACTTTACTCTGATTCTCAGGATCAAGCTTTTTATGATTACCACACCTTGTCCCTATGTAGCACAGCAGCTTTAAAGGCTTGGGACAGGATTCAGGAATCAGAAATAGAGCTGAATTATGTCTTAAGGTTTAACAGCATCAAAAAGAGCCTTTTAGTGACTTTTTACAAAGACTAACTAGTACAAATAGCAGTAACTGACTCAGAAGATAGACATATAATAATTGAATCTTTGGCTTATGAGAATGCCAACTTAGAATTCAAAAGGATCCTTGGGCCTTTACAGATCAGATCAGCACCCGTGGATGAATGGATCTTGCATATTATGAATGTTGAGACACTTGACTATGGTACTGAAGCTTGAGTAGGAGACGCAATTTCCAATGCAAAGAGAAGACCTCAAAATGCCAAATATTTTAATTGTGGCAGAATGGGACATCTGAGAAGAGATTGTAGACAAGGGATTCCTAGGAATAATGTTTGCTCTGAAAATGGCAGGAATAGGAGGATTCAGTCTTCAGGTGTATGTAGGAGGTATGGCAAAGGCAGCAATGGACCAATGAATGTAATTCAACAAAAGATAGACAAGGCAACTCAATACCATCAGTAAGCACCATCATAGGCCCCCATGATGAACATAGTTCAGTCATTCCCAATTACTGTGGAGAATGTGTCTCACCAGGAAAATTTTAAAAATCCAGTAATCAATGTAAAAAAAAATACTAGTCTCAATGATGGAATAAATGTGGAAGATGAGTCAAAAACTCCAGTAGAACACAGAAAACATATATTCTGGCATATTTCTATAAATGATCAAAGACCAAAGCTAAGAGTGTATACAAATGGTGTTTATATTGAAGGCTTACTAGACACGGGTGTGGATGTATGTATCATTACTCCAGAATCTTGGCATCCAAATTGACTTCTTCAATCCCATACATGTCTGCTAGGTCCTCAAGCACAAGGGTAATGCATAAATTGATCAATTATTGATTGGAAGTGTGTGGCAGCCCTCTGAATTTTATAAAAAATATTATGTCAGTAGCGAAGGTTTAAAGAAAGAGTTTTAGATGGCAACAAGCTAAAAAGATTATAAAAAGATGTCCTACTTGCTCTTTCTATAACCAAACATCATTGCCTGCAGGGAGTAACCCTAAGGGTACTCAAAGAAATAAAATCTGGCAGATGGATGTGATCCATTTTGCATAATTTGGTAAATTAAAATATGTACACCTCACCATAGATTCATGCTCAGGTTTTCAATGGGCAACTGCCTCAAACTCAGAAAAGTCTGATTCAGTAATCATGCATTTATTAGAAGTTATGGCCATCATGACCACTCCTGCACAAATAAAGACAGATAATGGTCCAGCATATGTATCTAAAAAAATAAAATGGTTTTTTTTGCTTATTATAATATAAAGAACATTATAGGTATACCAAATAATCCTACAGGTTAGGCAGTTATATAAAGGTCAAATTGTACTATAAAAGATATGCTGAACAAACAGAAAGGGATGGAAAATACCCCCAGAAATAGACTACATAGTGCTTTACTAACCTTGAATTTTCTTAACACTGATAAGAAAGGAACAAAAGCAGCAGAGAGGCATTGGATAACAGAAAAAACTTCTGAATTGAATCAACCAGTGTATTTCAAGGATATCTTGAAAATGGAAGCCAGGAGACGTGCTACATTGGAGAAGGGTTTTCACTCTTGTTCCCACAGGAGAAGAAAAACTATGGATACCATTAAAATTAATAAATATTCATTTTGTAAAGGAGAAACCTATTGAAAAAGAGAAATGACAGCTCATCCACAACAGTGACAACCATACAGGACACAAAGAAAAAGACTGTCAAATCTTGCCAAGAGACTGTAAGATGTTTCTGAAAAATTTCTTGCCTCTGAAAATGGTCTGTCAGTTACATGATGCCTTAGCCAAAGTTGGTTGCTTCAACATTGCAAGTGAGACTTTGGGTGATGGTTCAGGTAGCAAATTGTCTCCATCATACATTGCTCACTTTGGAAGCTGCTTGATTGTACTTCCTGACTGCTCAAGTAATATTATCTCTCTTCTCAGCACTTTGATGGGGTTGAAGATTAGATAGTTGTAGTTTGTACTCTTATGATCTAGCCAAACCATTTCCAATATAAGACTTAGACTTCATAGGATAGAATGTTTATTCAAACATTTCCCATACATTTCTTGTTTAATATTGTTTATGTTGGCTGTAGTTCTAATTATACTTGATATCTGTTCCTAGTGTATATAGTTTTGTATTGGGTCTGGAACTCTATTACTTAAACAAAAGGAGGAGGTACTGTGGAAGCACCTTCATCCAAAAGTAATTAAGACACCAGCCCACTTGGGCATGGTTTCTTATACTGAAATGCAACTGTAAAGCAGGTGCACTCTCTCTTGTTTCTGATTCTCTTTTCTGGCTGTGAAATTCAGTTGCTGCTCCCCATTACAGCAGAGGATTGCAATCTGTGAGTCTACCCCTAAATAAATAACACTTTATTATTCGTAATTCTGAACTAGTGTGGGATTATTTTGTGACTTCTACCTTCATGAATGAAAAATAAACATGAATATATTCAGAACTCAGAAATTAGAAAACTTCAGCATTCATTATCCACTGAGTTGCTCTCCAAATTTTATGTCTCTGTGATTCTTTCTTATCTCTGTCCCTCATACCTAACACTTCTAACCCTCATACCCCTACCCTGGAATGTGTGACCCTGCTGTGGCTAGGGTCACACCAAAATTTACCCCATAAGGTGTTTCCTGAAGTATGGCAGCCCGACATGGTGTGGTCCTTAAGACCTGAAGCAAGTTGTCACTAAAACAACACTAAAACAAGTAATTATAAAATTCCTCTAACACTATAAAGGAAGTGTTGCTGTAAAGATGAGAAAAGAAAGAGCCTAGTTTAAGAGGCAAGGAATTAAAATCATCTCAAAGACACATCTCAAAAAAAAGGTCTCATTTGACCCTATGATCTAAAAACAGCATCCAGATAAAGGTTTAAGGAGGAAAATCCTTTCAGATTTTAAACCCTAACAATGGATAAAGCTGAACTGTTTGAAAAGAAAAAGTAGTTGATTGGCTGAAAGTGTTGAGAAGAGTGCGAGACAAGTGAGGTGGGAGGGTTTGGAAGGCAATCACTCCTAAAATTAAACACATGTACAACTTACGTGTGAACCTTTGAAGCTGTATTTATCTAACTGCTGTGACTTGGGCTAATATCTATTTATTCTTCTGAAATTGTGTGTTGGTTAAAATTCTCTAAAGGACAAGAGGAAACAAAGAAGAGGTTTTTAATTCTTGTTGAAATGAGAATAGACTCTTAAATAACATCTACACTTGTTTAAAATTCTACTGTGACCCCACATTACATTAAACTATTTCACAAGAACAACCCACCTAATGTACAATTATGACTCCAGAGGGATAGAAGTACCTCATGGCAAGGAACCATAACAGCAAGCAGAAGATGTGGTAACTGGGGCAGGAAGATGAGATTTCACATCCTCAATCAAAACACAAAGCAAAGACTGAACTGGAAGTAGGTAAGGCTTTTAACTGTTAATGCCCAGTGCAGTGATGCACTTCCTTGATTAAGAATGTACCCCTAATCCTCACCAAACAGAGTCTTCAGCTGTAACCCAAATGTTTAAATTCCTGAGCCTAGGAGGGACAGTTCTCAATCAAAATACCACAACTTTATTTTGTTTTTAATGTATATCTTGAATTTTATTAATCCCAATTTATAGTGATGTCATACCTTAAATTTTTCTACATTCTTTTCATTTATTAATTTGTTTGTGGGTAGGGAAGTACAGGAAAAGAGGGCACAGACAGCTTGCAAAAGATGGTTCTCTGTCTTTGTTCCAGGGATCAAAACATCTTGTCAAGCTTGGAGGTAAACATCACCTTCCACTGGGGCATCTACCTGGCTCCACTTTAAAGATTTTAATCTAAGGTAATTTTGAAAATTAATACCCTTTTGCTCTGAGGACACGTGAGTAAATGAATACTGGACCAAATTTCTTTTGAGAACATCTGATAATGCATCCGTCCTTGATGTGTGTGTGTGTGTGTGTGTACTCTACCTTGGAGTTGAATTGAGGCTCTCCTACAGACTAGGTAAGCTTTGTACTACTGACATAAAACCACATCTCTAAAAGGGCCTTTAGATGGTCTAGATTTCTCAAATACTTGTTTTTAATCAAGTAGTCCATGACCGGTTTTGAATTATGAGGGAAAAAAATGTTCCAACCATCTTTGCTACATGATTTTTAATAACCTCATTAAATTTATCAGTGCACTAAACAAAATGATCAACTGTTTGACAAGAGTAATTTAAAAAATTATTGAATATAAGAGATGATACATTAATGAGAAGTAGTATTTTGAAAACAGCATGTTTCAAAAAAAAAAACAGTTTACAACCCCTAGATAGATACAGACATATGCTGATGTCTTGCACTAAGAAAGAATAATTATTTCAATGACACAAACAAGATATTTATTTTCAGTTCTAAATACCTCCACCATTGAAACATAAATTCTATGAAACTGAATAGTGTCTCAGGAATGGGAAAGTTTTAACACTCTTTGCAGATATGTGAGAAATATACACTTGGTTTGATTGAGTTATAAGAGAAAATACTGATTGAAAATGAAAGCATCTTTAAAGTTTAGTGTGGTAGGGTCACCATAATCTTCACTGGGATAGTCTCTTTTTTCTTTCCTTTGGTTTTTCAAGACATGGTTTCTCTGTAGCTTTGAGATCTCTGGGATAATCTTAAGTACTAACCCAGTGTTCTGAAAATGCTATCAGTAAATATTTTTATCATGAGTAAAATAATTTTTGAGGTTCTTCGGGATAAGAAAAGAGTTCCAATAGTTCCTTTTATGATTTAAAAGAACCAAATGCATACTGTCCATGAGCTTGCGTAGGTCAATAGAAACCTCATTACAGCTTCGTTTTCAGTTCTCTGTCATTTTCAACCATAGAATTTCTGTGCACATCCATGTGCTCACTTTCCTTCTCTGTGAGTTTCATCTCTGCACATTCATTCTCTGGAGAGTCAGTTTCCCCAGGGAGTTGGGCCCTCCTCATAAGTATTAAAATGAAGATTGCTGGGAGGTAGCTTGATCCTCTTAGAGCTGCTGACAACCCAAGGTAAAGGCGCCTGTTGAAAACAATTAATCTGTATTAAATCTTACTTTGTTCAGGGAAAGAAGTTTGTATATTCTCACAGATCATTTAAAATCAGGAGATTATTTTGCCCACATACTTTATGTAATCTACTTTGCTGAATTATTAATCCTGTTTGTTAAAATGTTGAAAATTTTCCAACATAAAAGTATAAATGAATTTCTTAAGGTTGGTGATGGCTAGTTTCCCTTGTCAACTTGACTAGACTTAGGATCGTTATAAAAATGCATATCTGAGTATGCCTTTGAGATGTTTTCAGAAAGGTTTAGCTTAGGATGAAGTTACACCAAGAATGTAGATACCATATGCTGGACTTCTAGGACTCAGTGCTTTCTGACAGAGCATGCGATATGACCAACATCCTCAAACTCCACCACCATGCTTCCTCTGACATAACCTCACACTCAGACCCATGCCACCTCGGTCATTATCTCCTGTCCTCTTAAATATTCTGCCAAATATCCTATATCAGGTTAAGGAACTTTTGTGTTCTGTTTGCTCAAATTTTGATGTATAAAGTGTATCAATTATCTTTAAGTCACCTTTCATTATTTTTCCCTATTCAGCACTTGTATGCTATTTTATGCCAAGAAATTTTTGTGATATTGAAACACTTGTATGTCAATAAGTACAATGACTCACTTTTATATATTAGTAGATTGAATTTGATAATTTTTGACAATGTTAAACGTAGAGTTTTCTTTATGAACTATGTGCATGTGTTGGGTGTCTATGGTATTCATGAATTATGGAATTGAAGTGACAGGAAGTTGGGAGTTACACAACACGAATTAAGGAAAGTGAACTTGTCTGCTCTCAAAGAGCAGCATGTGCTCTTAACTCCTGAGCCATCTCTTTAGACCCAAATTATTTTTTTGTTTCTTGAACTTGTTCAGTTAAAGCATGAAGACTATAAAAGCTTCCTGAAATGAATTGGGTAATTTCCCCTTTCATTACTTCTGAGAATAACCTTTATACTGTTACAAGTGTCTGTACTTTATAAATTTGATAAAATATGCTTTAAGGTTTCTGGACTTAATGTGTTTAGGAAACAGGTATCTTGACATATACTTATTTCTAAATAATCTGAAAACTCCCTTCATGTTCTCAACATACATAAAATCTGGTGTGATGGATAATGCTGTCAACTTCATACAATCCAGAATCTCGTGGGAAAGAAGTTTTAGTGAGGGCCTGTGTGGATTATCTTGACCTCTGAACATTTTTGTGGGAGATATTTTGATTACATTAACTGTGGTGAGAAGACCTACCACTCAGTGGGTGGCACCATTCCTTAGGCAGGAAATCCTGAACTACATACAAGTAGAGAACATGATCATGCTTTACTTCTGCAACAGGAAAGTATAAAGACATTATATATGTGATGATGCTTAAGACTTCAGATACAAGTCTAGAAGTACAACTGAAATTTTTCTAGATGAATAATAGATTAACAAATATCTTAGTTTATGTTTCTGTCACTGTTATAAAAGACCCTAATAAAATCAATTTGAGGAAGAAGAGGTGAATTTGCTCAAGTTCTGGGTTAAAGTCCAGCATTCTGGGTATGTCAAGACAACTGGAAGTTTAACCCACACAGATACACAGACAGAAGTAGTTGACTTCTTCCACTCTGGTACTATAGTTATACCAGGCTGTGAATGGGAGAGCAGCCACCCCCAGTCATACACACACTTCGGAACAGGGCAACGGCCAGCACTTTTCTTTCCCAGAACTTTTCAGTATTCTCCTCACCCAGAATCAGAGCAGAACTGGGTCCTACCTAGAAAACGCCTAAATTCCTTTTGACCAATGAGTTTTCAGGAGCAAGAACGAGAACAGTGCAGTCTGTAGCAAACAAAGTTTCTCTGTGAGCTTTCTTGGGCCTTAGGCCCTAGAGAGCCAAAAAGGTAACAGCTAAAGTCTGTTTTAAGATCAGCCTAGCAAGACGCCTGGACTTGGAACAGCAGTGAACCCACAGTTACCCCACGATACTGTTAGCGACTGGTGCCTGTGTAGCACTGAGAGTGGTGGGAACCAAGCAGGAACTGCTTTTAGTCTACTCAGCAGCATGAAAGCACATAACTGGATGCACCCAGATCCCCGAGGGCAGGCTCTTCAGTCTGCTGGTTCTTGAGGGTAATGGCCTCAGTTATTTCTATGTGTGGTAACTTTCTCCCCATTTGTGACACTTTCAGCTGGCTTGTACCACAATCCCTCTGCTGAGCCACGTTCTGTTTATGAGGCAGACAACCACTATGTACAATGAAGCATCTACGGGTTCCCAAAGATGAGACCATCAGTCAGATTCAGGTATAAGGTTCCTTCTCAAGATAGTCCCTGGCTACGGCACCCGATGTGTTCTACTAAACTGCAAGGGTAACACACAGATCAGGCTCTTTTTATATCAGGCTGCATGAGAAGGCTATGAACTTTCCAGGAGCTAAAATGTCAGGATCCATGCTGCTTAAATGTTCTGGGACTATCATCCTGACCCTGAAAGAAAGAGTCTCCTCACTGTCCTTAGGTAGGAGCTGAGAGATTTTTTCCCACCTACTGTGTTATTGTCCCTGACCTCCAGATCTTGCTGTCTTGTTTATCTCCAGTGTTCTGCCATGCTAGCACAGTTCAAGATGCAGCTCTTCCCCTACTGTTCCGCGGCATCTACTCAGAAACACTGCTCCTTCTGAAGTATTTTGGAGTGTTAGATTAGAAAACCCACTCACGCTTATATGCATCAAGCACTTTAGAAATAATGGGGAAATATTAAAATATATAGCTAAGAAAATTATACCATCCATATGCATTTTGAAAATGAAGCCAAACGAAACTTATTGCATAATAAAATATTAGATATGGATAAAAAATTAAGTACTACAAAAGTAAGTCACAAAAATTAACTTTACCTCAAATTATTTATATCATACATCCTGCATGCCCCAGGCTCACCACATTTCAGAGTTCCCCAATGTATACAGGTTCGGTCTACTAAAGCGCCAAAATAAATAGGTGCCGGAATGCCAGCTGAAATGAAGAGAAAAACATCCCATTGCAAGGATGAGAGAAAAGAGAGAGAAGTGTTGTTTTATTTGGAAGTACTTCAATTTCCCTATTAAATAAAAAATATAACAAAATAAGAACCAATGGCTCTGTACTTTTAGAAATTATAAGTTAATGCAAAGTTTCTAGACCACAACAAATAAAACTATATGAATGATGCTAATAAAGTATTCATTGTATTCATAACCATGGACCTCATGTATTTTCTTTCATGACGTGCACTGTATTTTTTTACACATTTAACTACCAAAACCATTTCCTTCTGATTTTATTCTTGAATATACTGAGAGACGAAAGATGTGATTAAGTTCAGATAAGCTTTTTAAAGATAAGGGGAAACATTTATCATCTCCAGAGTTACCTCATTCTCAGACTTAATACAAGTTGCCATTTCCAAAGACAAGGGTTTGTGAACTGGAGTTCAGGGTCCCATGGACAGAGTATATGTATGTTAAAGAAGCCACAAAATTGTTGGAATTCCCTGGATGTGGACAGTCGGAATAGTGTAGAACCAGACCCAAATTGTCTTTACCTCTCATATTGATCATACGTTATCTTATATCCATGCATCTATCATATGAAGCCTTTGGGGATGTATTGACTTAACAGGATGCTATCCTCCACTCACCCAAACACTAAGGATGCCATCAGATAGCGTCTGAGCCTAGAGCAGAGAATTCCCTGCTTTGCTGTCACCAATCTACTGCATATTCCCACAGATACATTTGAGAAGTGCCTTTTATGTGACTTCCTTCCTTCTATAACTACAAACATCATTAACTGCCACCATGTTGGAACCTGATACTTGGATGACTTGAGCTGGTGTTCCCATTATGGTGGCTCATGCCTGATACTAGAATAAAGCCTGTTATTCCCTTTAAGGTGAGGGCTGTGTTTTAGGTTGAGAAGATAGTTGCTATCTTTTTATTCAGAGAAAATTAATGAGTTTATTAAGTACTTAGTACAGTATTGGTCTGATGTGTTATAGAAATTGTTCATACCAAATGTTCTTGTGCAAAATGCATGTAATCCAACTCCAAGTGACTTCTCTTCAGACTTGACACACCTGAAAAGTTCACACACACATGAATAAAAGGACAGCATGCAAACTCTAGCTGTCCTAGCATCCTCCCAATGACAACAGTAGCTCATGATCCCAATGGTTAAGCTTTCCATCCTGAAGTAATAATACAGATCTACTTATGAATATGAGGAAGGAGAATATGAGTTCTGAAAGCTGTCCTATGATCTCCACACATCTAAAGCATGGTAGAGTCCATTAAATGCTTAGACATGGATTGCTAACCTAGACGGAGAAATCCTTGATTACCATGGTGACCTCCGAGCTGTACTATCATAATAACCTAAACCTTTGAAAACACAAATCAAATAAATCTTTTGTTAAGTTGTTTGCCAAGTATTTTGTCATGTTGATAAAAAAGCTAATATGTTATATAAAATTCAAAATACATAAAAGGCAGATAAACAGAGAAAGAATCTATCATGCATTAAGAAAATGCTTATGTTCCATAGAGATAACAACTTTAGATGTTTGTCTTTCCTTGTGCCACCTACAGAAATAGACATAAGATGGTTTTGAGAATTACATACAAAGGGGAAGCTTGTGAAAAAGTCATGATAAAATCTGAAAAATATTAGATTTTTTAAGGAAGGAATTAAAGATAAGCCCCTTTAAAATTTGCTGTTTCCCCGCCAAATACACCCTTGATTAAGAAAAGTTTAACAAGTTTTGTTGAGATTTCATTTTGGAAGTGATTCCATGAAAGAGTTCAAGAAAACATAACAGACTAGAAGAAGAAGAACAGCATGCAAACAGTGGTAGTACTGTATCATCAATCATTTACATTGCAACCATCACATTCAGCAAGAAAGAGCAAAGAAATATGAGAATAATAATTTGAATAGACCTTATTTCTATTACAACAAGAAATGGCACATTAGGTTATAAGATAGTTCAGTGGGCAAACTTGCTTGCCAACAAGCTAGACAAAATTAGTTCAATACATGGAACCCACATGGTAGCAAGAGAACCAACTCCTGCAAGATGTCCTCTCATTTCAACATGCAAACACACGTGTGAATGAACAATCACACACATGCACATAGAGAGACATCAAATGTTTTTAAAAATCACACATTAAAACATCAATAAGCCACATTTTTTATACCCAGTTATAGAGTCAACTTCGTAGAGTAAGGACAATTGAGAAAGACAGTGAAGCATAAAAATTGGAACAGGCATGTAGTAAACATAAGAGCATCTCTATAGAGTGCTTGGAGATTTTAATGGGAGTGTATAACTGCTTACATGACTTTAATCTTTGACTATCCTGCTCTATGAGGAAAACTTCTCCTTATGAAATGAGCATGCTTCTCTAAAATACAGCCACCTGGAGTAGTGAGGAGAAAGGAGGCACTGTGTAGCCACATCAGCTGAACCAGTCTAGCACGTGATGGAGAGACAGATGACACAGCCAGTTTTCCACAGTTGTAAGAACTAGCAATACCCAATATCCTTATCTGTCTGTAAACCTATGAACAAGGCATATACCCTATCTCCATTGTGTGGATATAAGAATATAACATCTTACCACAGAAAGCTAATATATAAGGCCATATATCTAGCCTATTCCAGTGAGTGGCTATGATGGGTAGAAGCAGAGGAAAGGAAGAACCAATGGGAGGGAAAGGAAAAACCAAGGGTGGAAAGAAGGAAAGGAAAGGGGCATAGAGAAGAGAGAGAGGAGAGGAGAGGAGAGGAGAGGAGAGGAGAGGAGAGGAGAGGAGAGGAGAGGAGAGAGAGGAGGAGGGAAGTGAAGAAGGAAAGAACAAAGGGATTTAGGAAAGGAGGAGAGGTGATGGGGTGGAAAGGGAATGTAGGATAGGTAACAGAAAAGAGCACAGGGAAGGGAAGGAAGGAGTGAGAAGCTTGGTCCATTCTAAAAGGGTAAAATGTTATGAATCACACATAATAGTTAACTTTGCTTCTAAATTCCATTTGTATCACTCCAATTGTTAGTGCATGTGAAGTTTGTTAGACTAGAAATAGCAACTGATAAATATTAAAAACTTTGAAACATGACTCTGCTATTCCTCACTTTATTTAAAAAATTGAGTATCAATTATGGCATTAATGTATCTCATGTACCTCCTTGTTAGAGAGTACATAATACCGCATTTATGGTTTTTGTTAAAGGAAGGTTAAGTTCAGGATGATATTTCCATAGAGGATTTCAAAACCTGACAACCGAGTTAGCCAAGTCATAGAAAATGAGTGTTCAACAAATACTCTCTGCCTGCCAATACAAGACATCCATTCAAGTAGGCTTAAGGCATAAAGGGAGAAAATAGAAAAGAGAAGAGGAGGAATTCCAGCAAACTTTAAAATACTGTTAAATATAGTAACGCTCAGTATAAGAGTCTTGATAAAGGTATCTCAGAGCATTGAGCTTCTAAGAACCATGACTGCAAGGGTCTTTCTTGGGAAATGGAATTTTAATAAGTGATCAAAAATTCTAAATGGCATTGATGGGTACTCAGAGTGTAAAGGTGTTTTCCACAGAGGCTAAATGACCCAAGTTTAATCCCAAGAACCCAGGAACATATGTAGAAAAATAAAATTAAAAAATCCTAATGCAGAGGCATGCATCTGGAATCCCAGCATTTCCATAGTGAAATAGGAGAAAACAAAATTCCTTGGGAGCTTGAGAGTCAGGTAGGCTAGAGTATACCACTAGCACAGCAGCAGAAATAGTAAGGGAGACCTTGCCTCAAAGACAAGAATAACGGGAAGAGCTGATTACCCAGCGTTGTCTTCTGACCTCCGTGTGCTCTTAATGGCACCCATGTGCCCCCCGATACACACACAACATACACTCACATATGCACACACTACTAAAAAGGAAAGAGAGAAGGCTAAATGAAAGAGTTCCTTATTACCTCAGAAAAACCATATACCCATGTATGACTGCTAGCGCATAGATGAAACTGCCAATTGATGCCAATATTAAAAAGTATTGCAGCTTTATAGTACAGTCAGGGCCTTTGTTGCACAGCCCAAGGACTGCAGATGAGCTTCCTGAAGACTGAACGCAGCTGCAGTTATGAAACACCTGTGAAAAAATATATTATTTAAAGAAGAAAAATATTGGGCATAAAGCTTCAATGTTTCTTACAAGGCTATTTCGATCCAAATGTAGAGTCTCAGGACCAATGATAAATCTTAGAGGACGTGCACTCATCTAGAAAGAACAAGGACCAAGTTGGAGCACAAACACCCTTAAATAAAAAAATAAGAAGTAAAATAGAGGTTTCTTTCCATTTCTATTAACCACAACCACTGCTTTTTTGGTTCTGGTATCTCAGAATTCTATCATAAAATACAAAGAGATATACTTAATAAGTTGCTATGGTTTTCTAAATATGTGGAATTTACAAAGAATCAATTATCCTGAAAGAACACTTTATTTTTTTATATTTATTTTCTTGCTTGTTTGTTTATTTTCTTGTAGGTGTTTTTACATATGTGTGTATATGTACCTGTCTATGTCTGAATATGTATGTACCATGGCAAACATGTAGAAGGCATGGGTTAAGCTGTGGGAGTTAGTTCTCTTTTCTCCTGCAGGACTCCAGGATGTAGTTCTAATGGTAACACTTGGTGACAAATGCCTTTACCCGCTGAGTCAACATTCTAGCCTGAACATAATCTTTAAAAAAGTAATAAATACTGCTTTGTTTTGGTTTGACGCTAGTATCAAGTCTTTCAGAGTGCTGATGGAATTACTATCAAATTGCATGCTTACTAATAAAGTCATCTCCCCAAGAAAAAGAGTTTGAAGTTTATTTCAACAAAAAGTCAATTCTTTTTAAATTGTTGTATTTCTTTTTGCTGTTCTGTTTTGTTTGTTTGTTTGTTTTCAGGTGATTTTTATTATTACGTTATAAATAATAGGAATCAAAATTTCCACTTCCTCCCCTTCTCCCACTTCCCTCTGCTCCCCCACTCACCCTCCAGTCCTAAGACAGGACAGAGTACCCTGCAATGTGGGAAGTTCAAGGCCCTCTCCCTCCTCCATCCAGGCTCAGGAAGATATGCATCCAAATAGACTAGGATCCCAAAAAGTCAGTACATACAGTAGAGACAAATCCCAGTGCCATTATCATTGGCTTCTCAGTCAGCCCCAATTATTAGCCACATTCAGAGGGTCCAGTTTGATTCATGTTCGTTCAGTCCCAGTCCAGCTGGCTTTGGTGAGCTCCCATTAGTTCAGGCACACTGTTCCTCAGGATCCAGCAATACCACTCTTTGGAATATACCCAAGAGATGCCCAATCATACTACAAAAGCATATATTAAATTATGTTCATAGTAGCATTATTTGTAATAGCCAGAACCTGGAAACAACCTAGATGCCCCTCAATGGAAGAATGGATAAAGAAAGTATGGCACATATACACATTAGAGTACTACTCGGCAGTAAAAAACAATTACATCTTGAATTTTGCATGCAAATGGATGGAAGTAGAAAACACTATCCTGAGTGAGATAACCCAGACCCAAAAAAATGAATATGGTATGTACTCACCTGTTAGTGGATTCTAGTCATAAACAAAGGACATTGAGTCTATAGTTCGTGATCCTAGAGAACCTAAGTAATTGTTGTATTTCTTAATCTGATTAAAAATCAAAATTTATATTTCATTTTGATTAACAGCCAACTCTAAATATTAAAACATGTTTAAGGCAAGGAAAAATGCTTAACTTTCTGCTAAGCTGTAATGATGTGGGGCTGTGGAGACGGCACAGCCTGTAAAGTCCTATACAGGCATGAGGACCTGAGTTCACATTCCCAGCATACAGGTGAAAGATGCATGTGTAGAGAAAGTGCTCACAACACTGGTGCTCTAAAGGAGGGAACAGGTGACTCCCTGGGGCTCATTTTGAAGCAGCCTAACAGAATCAGCAAATTCCAGGCCAGCGAGATCCTGTCTCAAAAGCACAAAGTGGATGGGACCTGAAAGTCTACAGCAGAGGTTGCCTTCTGACCTCCATGTGCACATGCACCTGCGCCACACACACACACACACACACACACACACACACACACACACACACAC